GGCTTTATCCTATTGCGGAGTTGCACCCTTTATTTTCACGGAATCGGGCTGCTTCCAGACTCGCATTTCTGACTATTACTACTGCATTCAGCTAAACCAACGACTAAGCCGGCTTAATCAAACTATTTCTCACTAATTTTTGGTATGATGAAAAGATCCGTTGGGCGATCTCACCGGGAGGCGACTGCCAATTCCAATTTTTCTGCAGCCGTTTAGCAGTACACGAGGCATCCTTCCTTGTTTCCCCCGAACGGGAAGTTTCCCCAACACTGTTATCTTAAGAGATTCATTGAAATCCGGTTACTTTATTTTACTCATTTTCCTTTTGCTCTAGTTGTGCTGCCTACTTTTTAGCAATAAGTAGTAGCAACAGAAGTTTAATTTAGATTTTCTAAGAATATATTGAAATAATTTCGCTGATCGTCAATATAGTTTTCTTGCTTATAAAATACTCGTTATTTGAATTTCCTACGATGACATACGAGGGGGAGCTCACTTTATTGTTGAATTTCTCATGACTTCTTTTCCACAGGCCTTTCTTATCAATTTTTCACTTACCTTTTGGATGATAGACACATTCTATGGGATTTTTAATTTGACCGTATACTTTATTTAACATTTATTTTTTATTGTAATAAAAAATAACTAGCTTCGCAACTTTTGGACGCCTGATGATGTATTATGGATTGACCTGGTTCGAATTGGTGTAAACTAACTTTCGGGATGCATAGAACTGTCAACTTAGATGCAAAAATTAACACTTCTTTAATATTATTAGTGTCTACCTTCATTATCGGTTATAAAGCCATCTAAAATGTACTTACTGGCAGCTCTAGTTTTGAAGAAAACTACCTCAATTCACATTTTCAATGGTGATTAGTGCCGATAAGGAAATTTCGTATTTGATTCTGTGTCCAGTAACCTAGTACACTTCAAGTTTCCGCTAAATTTTTATTATAATAATGCCTCTCTAGAGCCTGATAGTTGAGCTTTATTTTTGCAATTTAATATTACTTATTATTAGCTAGAAAATGGCTTTCCTATCCAGTTTTGACTGCACTCTTGACCCCGGCTGATGGGAACGCACATTGTGAAAAAAAATAATGCCGAGGCCTTGCCATAAATCTTTATGTCAGGCGCAAGATGAACACTTGGGTAAGGGATTTGAACTTGGAGTACAGCTCACAGCATCTGACGAGCGACGCGATTCTAGCTTTACCTATTACCATTGAGTCTCTCTAAGATGATTTCGGTAAATCCTTTTTAGGCTGCATTAAACATTACCCTCGGTATTTCTCGCATAAACTGTCAGGCGCTGGGACCAAACGGCTCTACTTGCTCTTCTTATGGCAAACTCTAAATATTACCAGTATGGAACGTAAAAGGTGCTAACCAAGACCCAGGCCCCTCGATTTCAAACGACCATTAAGTCCATCAGTCTGTCCTACCCAATCACAAGGAGCAGATTTTGCGAGATTGTCTGGAGTTTAGAAATAAAATATTATTTCGCTGCTATAATTTGTATTGTGAAGGATTGGACAACAAAGTATGTATTTAAAGTAGTATCCTGGATATTATCTTTTTTCAGAGGATTCCTGTACCTCGGAAATTCTTGACTCATTTTTGAGCCGAATCTTCTCTGAGCTGGAGGTAACCTTTTCTCCGACTTTCAAGCCGGTCGCATCGAACGCAGCATTGTCTGGTGCATGTCACCCGACCGCTCTGGATGCCCTGCGTCCCCTTGTGGCCGAGTTGACCTCAAGTATTGCAGGCCTAAATGATCTAGAAGTGGTGCCTGAAATTCCAGCTTGGGCTACCTATTCAAGGCTAGCACACCCCACACGCTTGTTTTGCCCGGCGCGAAGCCGGCTGATTAGTCTTGCTGACAAGTTGGCTAAGTTCCCGCTTACGGCGCAGGTTATTATACATAAACATTTGATTATAATTATTATAAGTGCTTCAAAATTATTACTTGCCCCACTTTAATTTTT